CTGCTTACACTGCCAGAGACTGAAATGGACGCATGTGCATGAAGCTATAAGCAAGACTGGCAATGGTAGTGTGTTGATTTAAGTTATTTAAAGAATGCTTGTCAGTTTCGTGCTACATTAGTTAAAAGTTCTCTGATGAAGTATTTCGTTCATTTTGCTAGGCAACCCGAATCAATAGCAATACTATTCACACGCACACACACGCGCAGGTATACATGCACTCACATACATGCATAAACACACGTACAACGATTGTCGCTTTCCTAATAGCTGAGGGTGGCTTTGCGCTCGGTCTGATGTCTTTAATGTCGCAAGTTTTCTCTCGCCAAAAACGCGGCCTTTTTGTTCTGGAACCAAAGATGCAAACGCCGTCGACACCAGAATTTCTGCGAAACAAGCTCTTTAGTGCTGTCGCGTCAAAACGTGACCCTTCTTCATGCCAACAATTGTTGCTGTCGGTGCATTCATATGGCAAAAAAAAACTGTTAGCAAATAAGCTGCATATAAAATTAGGAAATCAGTTTCGTTACACTAGAATCCCAATGTATCAGTATATTGACATCCATGAACATGTGTAGATTCTAGTGTTATAATCAAGCAAGGTTCCGGAGCAATAATCACCCACACATGTATCGGAGTGTCTCCCCAATGAGCTTTTTGACTCACCCTCTGTGTGTGCCTTCTGTTGCATCAAACGTGAAAAGCCCAGGCGGCGAACACAATCTGGACGTGGCGCTGGCTGATGTGTTATCACAGAACTTATTCTTTCATCATGCCTCAGGTCAATAAAAAGTTCTGAATCGTTCTGTTGTTAGTAGGCTGTATCGGCAAAGGCTTCTGCGGCCAATGTAGCCTAGCAGTTGGTTTTTGTGCTCGAATCTTTCTTCTTTTTTTTGCTACCAATGCCCTACTTTTTTGTGAACGTGCATGCTTTTGTCGGTAACTGTGCTTCAGCGGAAATTTTAAATTTCAGCAGAACAAAATTTTAATATGTACCAAGTGTGTGGAAGACAAAAAAAGGCTCATTTTTTGTCTTTCAAATCCCCCAGAAATGGAAAGATGAACGAATGAGCAAAAAAACAAAGCAGCACCGTTACTAGTCCCGCTGTTTTGTTCTTTGTCTCTTAGTGCTATTTTGCTTTCACTAACGATGCACACAGTACCTGCCAAAGTCTTCGGTGCATCGCTTTGAGCAGCGTTTGTACAATTTGCATTGCAGGCATTGATGCAGCAGTTCTTGGAAATGGTGCCTAAAAGTCTCGAGCAGGCAAAGGAGCTCATTCGGCAAGGAGTTTGCTTCAAAAAGCTCACCGCCCATAAAGGTGATTCGGAAATGATGGTATGTAGCTTCTCCTTTCTGAATTACATAGCCCTGGTTAGCCCCTTAGGCCTTAAAAGCATAATTGCAATGCCACGGTACAATTTAAAACAATGCCTTCAACAGCCCATGATTGAGCTGACAACCTCTCTCTTACAGGGTGATTCACAGCATTTATTTGATTATTAAAAGTACTTTGACAGCCTGAAGGCATTGTGGAAAGTAATTTGAAAATAAATAGTAATACATGCAGTGGAAATTAAAAAAAACAAAAAGTATTTTGTGAGGCAATCTTGACCGCATTCGCATCTGTTGTGCCAACATAAGTGGCGGCATGGCAGTTCCTGGTGATGCTTGCGCTAGGAATGAAAGTCGCCACGTAATTCTGTGTGACAATGTGGTAGGCACATCTCGATTTAATGATATGTTCTTATTGATGTGTAAGAAGAAGATAAAATAAGGCTTTCTTCAAATTGCCAATTTAATAAAGTTTAGACATACACCTTTATCCAAAAAAGCTTTGGGAGTTAAAAAGGCATTTACATAAGTAGGATCTTGCATGGTGTGTGTGGGTACTGCGAATCAAAATGTAGCAAAGATTTGTAGAATGCGGACTCAAGAGACAATGGCACAGTGAAAAAGTCTCCAGGCGTCCGCGAAAAACGAAGCACAGTCGCTAAACGCTGGAAGAGTGGCCTTCTTAGAGCCCGGTCTAGGGACAACCAGTGCATCTAAGGCACACACCACTTCTTGAATCATCACAAACTTCATCCAATGAAGAAGCATCTACTATACAATCAGTCGTCATTCAGCGGAAAAGCGTGGCACCCATCTGTTAGGCATTGCTGTGTGTGTTTTGTGCTGTGGCTGATGAAAAACTGGGCTTCTTTTGTAATGTGTTGGAAGCAATCAACGACTTACTCATTCTGTTGTTTGCACCTGCTATGACATTATATTACGTATGTCAACCTGCTTGCTTGCCTGATATCACACTTGTAGAGGGCGTTATTGCGAAGCAGATTGAAGCATCAGTGTTTCTCTGTGGTGGAAAAACTTGAGGACTTTAAACTTTGCCTTTAAGAGTTCAACGCGATAGTGATATGCTCTCCCTGGTGCGTACTTCAACCCCTTGGTGCATACTTTATTTTAATATGTTACTTGACAGGTTTGAATTGCGAAATTACTAGAAGGGTAATGTACCCATAAAATTGAAAGTGGCTTGCGTCAATGGAGCTTTTGCATATGGCTACATTTTGCGTAATGTGTAGCATGCTTTATACCATGAGCAATTATGCGCGAAAGATGTGGTTCAACTTGCTATGCACCCACTGCGTGGCCTTAAAGGCCAACTCTGGCGATTCTTCGACCATGTCAAGGTAATGGTGCTTCTATTTTCCTGAGACTGGTGGTTCTATGTTTCTATGCTCTTCTCATGAGCCCAATAGGTGAAATGCTCAGAAAACTAGAAAAAAAATTTTAATAACCAAAAGGGTGCAATACCGAAGCCCAACCCGGTGCCCAGTCTGTCATACTATTTGGCAAGAACTCCAGGCCGTACACTGGTCCTGCCAGTGCAGAGTATGAAAACTGTGAAAGCCAGACCAGTGAAGCACCAGCCAAACACCACAGAGGAAGGAAGAAAGCTTTCCCGTGCTATGCCCGTGCCAAACACCGCAGCTGTCACCTTGTGGCGAGCACAATAAATGCCATAGCGGCTAAAGTAGTGATGCCATCGGCTGCATCGATTCCATCGACATGCCAAACATGACATCACACAGACAGTTTTGCCAATAATTCTGGCAAGTGAGGGAGCTTTTCGAAGCAGTCTTTAAAAATTCAGTTGCATACAGTTAGCGCATCTCTCGAGCCATTAATTTGGCATAAGTGACAGGAATGTGCAAAGGAACGTACCCAATGAATTTCGTTTAAATCAATTGACCTCGAAAAATCACTGGAGTTGGCCTGTAAGAAAGTACGCACAGAAATGTGTGTGCCTTTTGTAGTGGGTGGCTGGTTTTAAACCACAAAGTCGTTATGATAATCGCATGTTCTGACGCCCATTGGCAATGTACTCTTTACCACGCAATTTTACTGCAATATAACATGTTGTATTTGAGAGCCTGTATACAGGACGTGTGCATTTCTAAAGCAGGATCGTTATTTTCGCTACATTCAGAAGCTGAGTGAGTTATTTTAACTGTATTTTTAAGCATAGACATGGCTATGTCCCCGCAAGGTTGTCTCCAAGCAGGCATTTGGTGTGTAGCGACACCACGGACCAGAGCTAACGGGAGGTTTTGACCTCTCCCACGCCTAGCCGTGCGTGGTTTTGCCATGTCTGGAAAAAGGGGATCCTATGGGTTGAGGCGACGCCGTGTGATTCGAACTTTAAGGCCTTTCGGCAGAGGCAACACACCCCTTTGGTCCTGGCTTCATGTAGACGGCACCCCTGGACTGACCCACCCATGGGGAAACCGGCAGTCACCTTTTTTTCTCTCTCTCTTCCTACATGTTCGTCTTTTCTTGCTTTCAATATTTCCTTCCATCTCCTCATTTCTGTTTACTTCCATCTTCCAGGTGACAAGGGTTAACCTTGTGTATATGCCCTCTTGGTCACATAATATTGGGTTATAGGGGCTTTGTACAGCTGGCGCTGGCATGCCTTTTGTAATTGTGCTGCTGCGTCCCCATGTTGGGCTCCGTGGTGGGCAGCTAGCATGGCTGCCAAATTTATATATAGTACTTTATGGGCTGTTTTCTATTTCCCAAACTGTCTGATCACCCTCCCTCTGAGAGGGGGCACACTGAAGGAAGGCTGAATGTCTTCCTAAAACGCAAAGAAATCTTCCCACGCTTCCATGTGATTCATTGTGAAACACAAAAGAATGCAAGAACAATCTCTCCATTTTTCGTATCAAAATGACTCGCCAATACCCTTGGTACAGGTTATCAAGCTACATGCATGGCTAGTGGCGACCTTGAAGTACAAAGCAAGGCCCAGTACGAAAATTTTCAAAACACCTCTTTTGGAACCACACCTGTATTTGTCACACCGCACCGTTCCGTGAACATTTCTTGAGGTGTAGTGTCTGATGAAGACCTAATCAACCTGACAGAGGGTGAGCTCCTTGAGGGCTGGAATGAACAGCACGTAACGCATGTTCAGAGAATTAAGATCAGGCGCGACAACTAAGAAACGCCGACAAAGCACCTCATCCTTACATTCTGCACAATCACACTTCTAGAATACATCGAAACAGGCTACTTGAAGTTACAGGTTCGACCCTACACCCTGAACCCCCGACGTTGTTGTAAGTGCCAGTATTTCGGTTACGGCTCTGAGCTTCCGCGGCCGTCAAACGTGTGCAAGGTGTAGTTAGAACGAACATGCTACAGACAACGGTGAAGAAGAAACTCCCCACTGCACAAACTGTAACAGTGGACACCCCGCTTACTTTCGCACATGTCCTACATGTAAACACAGAAAAGAAATACTTACACTCAAAGTAAATGAAAACACCTCATTTAGGGAGGCGTGCAAGTGTGTATTTTTGCTGGGTCCTTCATTCACGGAGGTGGCACGAAAGAGGGCAGTGCCACCAAAATTAGTGGCGCCCGCACGTACCACACAAAGTGGACTGGCGGAAGCGCCATTCAGCCTCTTAGCGGAAGTAGTACATACTCTTCCTCCACCAAAAGGCTTGCAGGCCTCCGGACCTGAAGCCCCAGAGCCTTCTGTTTTGATAGATTGCCTTAAGACTTCCGTGCCCGCACGCGTGAACCGCAAGCGGGCATCCAGCACCTCATTCGAGGTGATGGACACAACAGCAAATTCAACGGTGTCTTCGGTGCCAAAGGACAGGCGCGACTCTTTGGAGCGCGCCAAAAAGTAAAAAACCATCATGACGGGGCCTGACAAGGGCTCCTGACTTAACGCAATACTTTTTAGTACACGCAGCACTCATTTATGCTCATAATTGATACACAAATAATACAATGGAACGTCAGAGGACTGCTTAGAAACCTCCACGATATCCAGGAACTCTTTCACAAACATTCCCAATAGTGTTGTGTGTACAAGAGACGCACTTAAATTTTAGGAACAATTATTTTCTACTTCAACATGTAATCAGAAAGGACCGCATTGATGTTGAAGCGTCATCTGGTGGTGTGGCCATTGTAGTTGATCAGGGCGTAGCACGTACACGTCTACCACTACAAACATCCCTTGAGGCAGTGGCTATTCGAGCAGTTCTTTTGAACAAACTTGTCACCATCTGCTCTCTTTACATACCTCCACAGTACCGTCTAGAAAAACACGAATTCCAGTCACTGATAGATGAACTACCGAAACTTTATGTGGTCCTTGGGGACTTGCATGCACATAATGGCCCATTGGGCGACTCTCCCTGCGATGCACGAGGTCGCGTAATCTAACAGTTCCTTTTTTCTTTGGGTGCATGTCTGTTGAATAGGAAAGAATCAACACACTTTAGCCTCGCCAACAAAACCTACTCATGCGTAGATCTCAGCATTTCGCCCCCATCGCTTGTACCCCTGCTTCATTGGAAAGTGATCAACAGCCCGTTCGGAAGTGACCACTTTCCTATCATTCTAAGTACACCAATAGACAAAGGTCCTCTACATGTTCCCAGATGGCACACAGACAAGGCGGACTGAGAAAAGTTCAGAGAAGCTACTCGCTTAAGTTGGTCGAACATGGTGAAACCGGACGTCACTGCTCGCGTTATACAAAAAGCAAAGAGGGAGGGGTAGGGAGGGCAAAAAAAGAGGGAGAATTAGTTGGGATACGAAGAGTAGGAAAGTGAAAGCAGGCTAGAATTCAAATAAGTATAAATACAGCTGTAGACTTTCTGACAGCACTTCTTATTGATGCTGCAATAAAGTGTATTCCACAAACTGGACGGTCCACCAGGTGACACACCCTTTGGTGGAACAGTGAGTGTCGGCATGCACACAGAAAGCAAAATAAAGCATGGAAGCTGCTTCGAGACTCTCCGACGGCGGAGAATATTACAAACTTAAAAACGTAGTCTCAAAGCAGGAGTACGCGCGACTACGGCGTCTCTCATAATCATATAGTGGTTTTGGGACGTTAAACCCACATATCAATCAAAATGCAATGTACTTCAGTGTTACACGTTATACAATGTTAGATAAAGCAGTTTTAAAAAGTTGGTGGTCCGAGATTGTTGCCGTCAGTGCGGGTAGGTGGTTCCATTCCTGTGATGTACGCGGTATGAATGACTGGAAAAAGGAGTTAGTTCTGCAGGACGGCAAGCCGACTTTATGGACATGATTTATGCGAGCGGAAATGTACCGAGGAGGCAGAATGAGTTCGTTTCGTAGCTGGCTGTGATAGAAAAGCTTATGGAAAAGACAAAGGCGAAGGATTTTCCTACGAGATGATAAGGAAGGTAATCCGAGGCTGGATTTCATAGTGCTTATGCTGGCAGTCCTGTTGTAGTTAGAGAGTATAAAACGAACAGAGTTATTTTGAACCATTTCAAGTGAGTGTATTAGATTTTCTTGGTTAGGATCCCAAACTGATGCAGCATACTCCAGTTTGGAGCGGATAGGCGTGTTGTAGAGAGTTAGTTTTAGTGTTGAAGGAGCCTGTGAGAAATTCGACGTACGTAGCCGAGCATGCGATTAGCGTTATTAATTACGTACGTGGTATGCACAGACCAAGCGAGGTCGGTAGTAATATGTATTCCGAGATATTTGTAAGTGCTGACAGATTCCAGTGGAGCATCGTTCAGATAGTAAGTGGGCAATATACGGTTAATTCTAGATACGCGAAGGCACTTGCATTTGCTAGTGTTTAGTTGCATTACCCATGTTTTGCACCACGCAGAAATAGCGTTAAGATCGGATTGAAGGGTTAATAGGTCATTGTCATTAGATATTTCACGAAAGAGGACGCAGTCATCGGCAAACAAGTGAATGTGAGAAGTAACAGATAAAGGTAAGTCGTTAATGTAAATAAGAAAGAGCAGGGGAGCCAGGACAGATCCTTGAGGGACTCCAGAAGAGACATTCGTTCGGGGTGAGACGTTATCGTTAGCTAAAACAAACTGACCGCGGTTAGAAAGGAAACATTCAAGCCAAAATAAAAGTTTTGGATCAAGATTAAGATATTGTAGTTTGTGAAGTAACAACTTGTGACATACTTTATCGAAAGCTTTGGAAAAGTCTAAAAAAATGCAATCAGCGATGGATGAATGATCAAGAATGATGTTTAATCCATGGGTGAAAGATGCAAGTTGAGTCTCGCATGAATAGTTTTTTCTGAAACCGTTTGACACTTGAAAAAAAACGAGTTAGATTCGAGAAAATCTGCCAGTTTGGAATATATATGTGTTCTAGTATTTTACAAGGTATGCTGGTTAGCGAGATAGGCCGGTAGTTAGACGGTGAATGTTTGTTACCAGTTTTAAACAGTGCAGTTATCTTTCCAATCTTAAAGTCGACGGTGAGACAGCCTTCATGAAGCGATTGTTCGAATATCTTCGTTAGTATGATTGAACAATAAGAGCTGGTGTTTTTCAAAAATTTAGGACTGATCGTATCACACCCAGGAGACGAGGAAGGCTTTAAGGACTTGATTACACTTTTAACACCAACGTAGTCAATAATAGGAGGCATGGGTGGGTAGTCACAATGGGGGGTGGTCGGAACAGGGGCGTCTACAACAACGTAGTCAATAATAGGAGGCATGGGTGGGTAGTCACAATGGGGGGTGGTCGGAACAGGGGCGTCTGTAGTTGAGAAATTCCTGGAAAAGGCATCATTAAGGGCTTCTGCACACAAACGAGGGGGAATGGTGTTTCCAGCACTGTCAATCAAGGTTAACATTTGGCTATCTTTGGGGTTAATAACGCGCCAAAATTTTTAGGATCAGTTAGTAACATATTCGGAAGCGTGGTGTTAAAATAGCAATATTTTGCAATTTTTAGTGCGGTGGTGTACTCTTGGGAGGCTTTTTTGTAATCGTCCCATCGAACGATGCAGGAGGATTTTTTCGCGGCTTTGTAAATACGATGGTTTTTGTTTAGGAGACGCTTAATCTGTATATTGAACCATGGTGCATGTGGTTGAATGTGATAGTGCGAACAGGAATGTGTTTATTTGTTAGTTGTTTCACTTTATCTACAAAAAGGTCCCAGTTAGTTTGAACACTACGACTATCAAACGGGGAGAGGAAACTGTCAAGAAATGTGCAAAGTTCATTATTAATGGAGACAAAATCGGCTTTACCGTAGTCATGAATTGTTTTAACCGTTTTTACACACTTGGGACAGGATGCGTTGATGTTGAACGATAGCAGAGTATGATCGCTTAAACCCGGCAGATAGGTAATGTTCGAAACAAAATCGGAGTGGGACGAAAGCTCCATGTCTAGTGTGTTAGCTACCGACGCAATAGTTCTGGTAGGTTGCTTTACTAATTGTGACAAGGAAAAAACAGAGCACAAATTTAAGAAATCATTTGCGAATGTGGAAAAGGGGCTGATGGTAGGTGGTTCAGTTGCCCAGGAAATGTTTGGAATATTAAAATCGCCTATTAGAAGCAGAGGAACCGACAGGTGACGAGACTTAACAATGTTTATAGCGTCGTGCAGTTCATTGATAAAGACGGGGATGATGCAGGAGGACGATAGCATACACCGACAACAACTTTTCGATGGGAGAATTGGATAATGGCCCATACTATCTCCAGATCCGAAGGAACATGAACATACTGTGATAGTATGATTTTCGTAATAGCCAGCAGTACGCCGCCCCCTTGGCGGGCTGTTCGATCACATCGGTAAAAAGAAAAACAATGAGCACAGTCGAGTAATTCGTGGTCAAGAATATCTGGATGCAGCCAGGTCTCTGTTGGTGCTATGATATCAGCATTAGTTGTAGTAACGGCAAAATGAAGATTATCGCGTTTTTTAAGAATGCTACGAATGTTGGTGTAAAGAAATGATACGCGATTTAGTTACCTTCCACTGCCCCTCAGTTTTTCCTAGCTTTCATTGCTCGGCACGGCGTGGTTTTGGGGTTTATGGGGCAGGCGTTGTAGGTGCTCTGTTACGCGATTAGTTGAGGGGTCGAAGAAGTATTGTTTTTTGTTCATAATCAGCTTGTTGTGCCGGAGTTGGAAGGGTGCTTCGTTTGACTGACTTTTCGCGAAGGCCAAAAGTTGATTTCGAGCATGGCGTGTCGCCAGCGAAAAATCTTCGTTCACAGAAATGTCCTTTTCTTTAAGTTTTTTGCGTGCGCAGAGTATTTTGTCTTCTGTTTTAAAATTGGTAAATTTTACGATAATGGGGCGATGTCTACCTGGGCGAAATGCTCCCAAACGGTGAGCCCGCTCAATGTTGTTTGCGGATAGTGGATCAATTACGCCTGTCAAAAGTTCTCTGATGCGGGCCTCAGATTCGTCCCAAGTTTGTTTGCAGTCGGGTACGCCATGAAACAGGAGGTTATTGCGGCGCAACCGGTCATCTTGTTCGTCAAGGCGTGATTGCATAGATTCAAGCTCTGCTGTTAGCATGCCGACTGTAGAATTAATAGTTGCCACGTCAGCATTGTGATCGTCAAGAGTTTGCATTTTACCTTCAACGGCTTCCAATCTACTCTGAAGATTTCCAATTTTGTCTTCTATGCTCTTTTGACTGCTCTTGATTTTTATATCAGCCACTAACTCTTCTTGACTCTTTGCCGATTCCACAGGTAGGGCTTCCCAGATGTTCCCAGATGGCACACAGACAAAGCGGACTGGGAAAAGTTCAGAGAAGCTACTCGCTTAAGTTGGTCGGACATGGTGAAACTGGACGTCACTGCTCGCGTTATGAAAAAACCAAAGAGGGGGAGGGAGGGCAAAAAA